ATGAATATGGATTTTCTCCAGTCATTTCCCAGTGCCATGTTGTAGAGTCATTGAGTCATACAGCACGGAAACAAACCCTTCGGTCCAACCAGTCCATGCTGAACATAATCGCAAACTCTACTAGTCCCACCTGCCTGCTGCTGGCCCATATTCCTCCAAACCTTTCCTATTCATGTGCTTATCCAAGTGTTTTTTAAACACTGTAATTGTGCCCACACCCACCACTTCCTCAGGAAGTTCATTCCACACGTGAACCACCCTCTGTGTAAAAAATTTGCCCCTCATGTCTTTTTTAAATCTTTCTCCTCTCACCTTAAAAATGTGTCCCCTAGTCTTGAAAACCCCCATCCTATGGAAAAGATAACTATTATCAACCCTATCTATACCTCTCATTATTTTATAAACTTCTAACTGGTCACCTCTCAACCTCCTGTGCTCCAGTGAAAAAAGTCCCAGCCTATCCAGCCTCTCCTTATAACTCAAACCTTCCATATCCAGGCAACATCTTGGCAAATCTCTTCTGAACCCTCTCCAGCTTAATAATATCCTTCCTATAACTGGGCAACCAGAACTGGACACAGTATTCCAGAAGGGGCCTCACCAATGTCCTGTACAATGTCAACATAACGTCCCAACTCCTGCACTCAAAGGACTGAGCAATGAAGGCAAGTGTGCCAAACGCCTTTTTAACCATCCTGTCTATATGTGATGCAAATTTTAAAGAATGACATACTTGCACCCCTAGGTCCCTCTGTTGTACAACACTACCCAAGACCCTATCATTAATTTTATAAGCCCTACGCTTGTTTGTTGTACCAAAATGCAATACCTCGCATTTATCCAGATTGAACTCCATCTGCCATTTTTCAGCCCATTGACCCATTTGATCAAGATCCCTTTGTAATCTTAGAAAACCTTCTTCACTGTCTACAATGCCACTAATTTTGGTGTCATCCGCAAACTTACTAACCATGCCTTCTATATTCTCATCCAAATCATTCATATAAATGACAAACAAAAGAGGACCCAGAAGCGATCCCTGTGGAACACCGCTGGTCACAGGCCTCCGGTTCGAAAAACATTACTCTGTATCCTGCCATTAAGCCGATTATGTATCCAGTTGGCAAGCTCACCCTGAATCCCATGTGGCCTAACTTTACTAATTAGACTACCATGTGGAACCTTGTCAAAGGTTTTCCTAAAATCCAAATAAACAGTGTCTACTGCTCTGTCGTCATCAATCTTTTTGATAACTTCCTCAAAAACGCAATCAAGTTTGTGAGACACAATTTTCCTGGCAGAAAACCATACTGACTATCCCTAAGCAATTTTTGCCTCTTTAAATGCCCATAAATCCTATCTTTCATAATCACCCCCAACAATTTACCCACAACCAAAGTCAGACAGACACACACAGATCTACAGTCCCACAGTTTCTCCTTACAACCTTTCTTAAACAAAGGTACAACATTAACCACCCTCCAGTCATCAGGCATGTCACCTGTAGATATAGATGATGCAAATATTTCTGCAAGGGGTCTCATAATTTCTTCCCTTACTTCCCATAACATTCTGGGATATGTTAGATCAGGTCCTGGAGACTTATCCACCTTTATGTTCTCTAAGACCTCCTGAACCTCCTCGTCTGTAACGTTGTGGAGCCCAGTTTTGGCACCACCTCTGGGACAGGTGCTGAGAGAGGTTACTGCCCCAGTGTGAGGAAAGAAAGAGCCCGTGCACTCTCAGTGATCTCCAGTTGCTGAACTAATAGTGTGGAACTCTTTCAAATTTGCCATCTGTATCAATGGACATAATGTGTGGCTTCAGAAGAACAAAACCTCAAAATTGTTGGGGTGGAAATGCAAAGAAGGAATGATAAAGGTAAATATGCCACAGCTAAAGAGCCTCTGAACTGGACGTATTTTGAATGGATTAGAATTGGACGTCACGCTGGGGACCTTACGGAGCTAAGTCTGATTCCCAATTGTCTGCCTATAGAATCTAAACACACTCCATAGTATTTACTGAGGTTGACAAAATCTGTAAGTGTGAAAGTTGAAAGGGTTCAGAAGAGATTTACAAAGATGTTGCCGGAATTGGAGGGTTTGAGCTATAGGGAGAGGCTGAATAGGCTGGGGCTATTTTCCCTGGAGCATCGGAAGCTGAGGGGTGATCTTATAGAGATTTATTAAATCATGAGGGGCATGGATAGGGTGAATAGTCAAGGTCTTTTCCCCAGGGTGGGAGAGTCAAAAACTAGAGGGCATATGTTTAAGGTGGTTCACTAATGTCCTTTAGAGAAGGAACCTGCCATCCTTACCTGGGCTGGCCTACATGTGACTCCAGACCCACAGCAATGTGGTTGACTCTTAACAGCCCTCTGGACAATTAGGGATGGACAATAAATGCTGCCTGGCCAGCAACACCATCATCCTGTGAATGAATAAAAGAGGTTTAAGGTGAGAGAGGAAAGATTTAAAAGGGACCTAAGGGGCAACTTTTTCACACAGAGGGTGATGCATGTATGGAACGAGCTGCCAGAGGAATTGGTGGAGGCTGGTACAATTACATTTAAAAGGCACCTGGATGGGTACATGAATAGGAAGGGTTTAGAGGGATATGGGCCAAATGCTGGCAAATGGGATTAGATTAATTTAGTATATCTGGTTGGCATGGATGGGTTGGACTGAAGGGTCTGTTTCCATGCTGTACATTTCTATGACTCTATTTGCAACAATTCCCTCACCCAGAAAGATGTGCAGCCTATGCAGAAGGAGCAAGGGTGATTGACTAATCCAATAGTTGCTTCAAAGATCCAATATAGGCATGATGGGCTGAGTGGCCTCCTCTTGTGCCATATGGTTTAATGAGTCATTATTGCTGACTTTGACTAACTTGTTTTGGTAGGATTCTTCCCATTGTTATTTGAACAATCTATTGCACTTAGTCAGGGATGATTTTGTTTTCCTCCTGGGTTCTGAGCCAACAGCAAGTAGTTGCTGTATGAGGATCACTGCAAAACAAGGCTGTTTATATCCAATTGCCCTTTCTTCCCTGTCATTCCTGAAAATGGTGACTCTGCTGCAGTGTATATCAACTGACCAATGGCACATTCAGTCTTTAAATAGCCTGGTTATTCAATGTGCAAGCACGCAGAAACACAGATGATAAGAGCCAGTGCTCCACCTGCTTCTCAAACAGTTCCACATAGATATCATTGTCGGTGAATTCACATGGGTCCAGAAAGCTAAGTAAATTGTTTGCATAGCCAACTGCAAGACCAGCCCTGCTCCCTCCTACAGCTCGACAAAATAGTGCTAACATTTGAAAGATTTGAATGTGGAAGATTTTTGCAGCTGATCAGTTGCACTGTTATAAAGCTAATCAATAATAAAGACTGTAATTTTTTTTGATAATAAAAATAATTTTTTTGGAGGGGTCAGCACGGTGGCTCAGTGGTTAGGGACCCGGGTTCAATTCCAACCTTGGGTCACTGTGCAAACTCTACACAGACATTCTCCCCGTGTCTATACGGGTTTACTCTGGGTGCTTCAGTTTCTTCCCACAGTCCAAAGGTGTGCAGGTTAGGGTGGATTGGCCATGCTAAGTTGCCCTGTAGTGTGCAGGGCTGTGCAGGCTGGGTGGGTTAGCCATGGGAAATGCAGGGTTACAGGGATAGGGTAGGTGGGTAGCCCTGGGTGGGATGCTGTTTGGAGAGTCAGTGAGACGTGTTGAGCCAAATGGCTTCTATCTGCACTGTAAGGATTTTACAATTCTACGATTTCCATCACCTTGATGAGGGTAACCAACTATAGTTTCAGAACTTCAAAAAATAAAGTTTTACACACTCACGCTCTCACACACACTCACGCTCTCACACACACTCACGCTCTCACACACACACTCACTCTCTCACACACATGCTCACACTCGTGAAATTTTAAATCGGCTAAGTAAAACGTGGAACTGAAAGCTAATCTTCGTAATGGTGTCCAGGCCATGAAGCTGTTACTGACTGTTCTAAGACCATCATGTGGAAGCAAGCCAGCCACCCTTATCCTTACCCAGTCTGGCCTGTGTGTGACTGCACGCCCACAACAATGTGGGTCATTCTGAAATGGCTGAGCAAACCACTCTGTTCAAGAGTATTAGGGACAGGCCACAAATGCTGGCCTTGCCAGTGATCTCCATATCCTGTGAAAAATAAAAGAAATGAGGAGGGCAGATTATATCAATGAGGCTTACATTCTTATGACCGTCGAGATTGTGTGATTAACGCATCGAGGTACTGAAAACAATTAATAGATTTGACAGGGTAGAATACAAGAACTCACCAAGGCCCAGGAATGAGGGGATATGACCTTTCAGTAGAGCTAGACCACGTCACTAAATTCAGGAAAATCTTCTTTACACAATGACTTTCTCTTCCTCTGAACAACTGGAGATTTTTGAGACTAAAACTCGGTAGATTTTGTAAGGTAAAGGTATTAAGGAATACGGAACCGCGATGGGTAAGTGGAGTAGGAATGCCAGTCAGCTGTTTTGTAACCAAGGGACAGAACAGGCTTGATGGGTTGAATGGCCCACATATGTTAAAATGTTTCAGATTTGCTTCTTCCAGCCCCACCATGTACAGCAGGCCCACAGTTTGTCTGTGAGTCACGGTGTTAGTAGTTCAATAGAAATGGAATGTGGTAACCTATCTGGTTCTGCACAATGCTTCAAATGCAAATATTTAGGACAAACAAGGAAGCGATATTCTCACGTCGGTGGCTATGGAGCATACTCCCTGATAGTTGTTGTAATAGGTGGTTTACTCTGCTTCTCAGTTGGAGTTGTGTTATATTTAACATGGATGATGCAAAGTATAAGTAATTATCTGGTGTGGGATAATTCCTCAAACATACAGTGGGTAATAAAACAGAGTAATGCTCAGATGTTTGTACCAAGCTCTTTGTAACCTTGTCCTGAACACACCTTTTTATTTCATTTATTTGCAGAACATGAACAAAGAAATAACCAGCGGTCTGCCTGCAGAAAAACAAAACATCTTCAATACCCAGCTCCCTCACTTGGTCCCCTTTTCTTTCATCCATACACCAAGGGGTCACAAATAAAGATGGATTTATCTCATCACTGTGCATGGAGGAAGTCTGGGTTCTGTAATGGGATCACCTTTACCAACCGTCCAGTCCTCATCCAGGAGAAAGTGAGATTGAAGATCACAAAGACAGAGGAGTCATGGAAAGGAGGAATGCGACTAGGCTGCACAATTTTTGACCCCTCCCTGATGCATCCCGATGCCCTTCCGAAATTTGTGTGCCCAGACCTGGAGGAAGCACATGGCTTCTGGGTCAGTGCGTTACCCCAACAGTGTATACAAGAGGGAAGTGTCATCTCCTTCTGGGTGAACAGCCAAGGACAGTTCCTCTACTCTGTAAATGAAGGAAGGGAATATCTCCTCATGAAAGGATTGCTGGTGTCTTGGCCCCTGTGGGTTATCATCGATGTGTATGGAACAACACGAGAAGTCCAGCTCCTAGGTAAAGATGCATTTGAAAGACGTGATAGAACTTTTAATAACTTTATACTCTGTCATTTCCTGTACAGTCTGGCTTAGATTAGGCCATTTCCTGTACTGATGGCCTTGTGGGTAAACACACCATGTGATATGCTGTTGAGTCACAGAGGATAAAACAACACAAGTCTGGTCAGTGACAAGTTAATTTATCCCAGTCAGTGCAGTTTGAAGCACTACAGTTGACCTTAGTACTCCAATTGAGAAAGGAAAAATTATCTCAGATTCTGGCAAGTCAGTGATTTGTGCTACACATGCATGTAGATGTTGTGTAAGGGCAGATTTAATTTCAGTTGTGAAGCCCACTGCAGGTGAATAGCCCCCACCACTCTGGATCTATGATTCTCACAGATGCATTCTCTAGACTTGAATGAGCTTCTTAGGAGCCATGGGAACACAGTCCAATGAGAGTCAGAACCTTCTGAGACTGTAGATGAAATTGGCAAAATTTAAAATCTGTGAGGTCAAAGCTATGTTAAAAGTTAAATACTAAAATGGAGAAGATTCCATTTGCACTAAATTCCACCCAAAGTGGCAGCATAGATAGTGACCCCTGTCCCCCCCTCCAAATCACATTTATTCAGTTATTAAATGTGGTGGTTTTAATTCAGACTCATCCAAATGTAAGTCTCATGTTTCAAGAAGTTGTGACTAAAGACTGCAGCTCACCGTACTTTTCAATCATATTCAGCAGGAGCAGTGATTACACTCAGAAAGCCTAAAGCATTTGAGTGGCATTTGCATGGATGATGTGATGCTAATAATGATGAAACTGTCAGTGTTTGCTTCTCATTACACCATTGAAACTGAAAGCAATATTTGAGATTCCACAACTGGAAAGAAATCTCGAAGCTGCTGTCTGTGATTCTACAGCAGATGATATACTCTCAAGGTCACCCAGAGAACAAGTCCCAAAGCAATCAATGAATTGACAAAAACATTCATTCTCAAACAGCTCGCTTTACTGCCAAAAAGATGGTTTAAAAGGCTACACCTTTTTGAATGCATGTAATTATGATTTTCCAGCATACAAAGTTTATAATTATTGATAAATACCATCAATCTTCCTGATTTAAACTGCTCTCTGATTTGTGGAAGGTCAAATTTCTCCGTTGTGATAAAATCCCTAACATTATTATAATAATGTTGGTCAAATTTAATTTACATTTCGGCTTCAATCTTAATCCAGTCATAACCATTGATTTAACTATCTATAAATTTCAAATGATAGGTTGAGATGCTTTAAACTTCGCAGCTTTCTGTCTGTGAGATAAGTTGAATGTGATTGGCTGTTTATCCTGGTCACTGACATCACTCCTAGTGATCCCCTGGACTTGTCACAGATTTATCCTACCATTGGGAAAGGGAAGGTCTTTTCCACAGGTAGGTCTTTGTGGGACAGCCTTCTTTAAGATCATCAGTGAGCAATCTTGCTACACACCTGTTATGCCTTAAAGTGTTATTATTTTGTAAACTGAGTTAATATAATCCAAACTAGGATAAGCAATAATGGCAATACACTGGTCCAAATCTCTGAGCCAGTTTTACAGAGTTAGGTGTAATTGCTTGTATCTCTCAGGGAACCCCTGCAACAGTTTACATAACAATAATACTTTAATTTATAACACTTGTCTATTCCGTCTGATCCCATCAGTTTATAGTTT